CATAATCACCAAGTTACAAGATATTACATAAGTAACTATCATGTATCAAACTCAAGCTAGAAGTTAGCTTAAGCCATTTTCATGCTCATTTTCTAATTTTCATAACTATATACAAGTTATAGGTCATATATACATCTAACCCTTTTTCCTATGGACATCAAAGGTTAGAAATACACCAAAGTAGGAAGAACCCTACCTCTTAAAGTGTAAACCGAAGGTTAGAACTTTAAGAACATCCACAAAAACCTCAAAACCTTGATTTTCCCAAAATCTCCCTTTTGGAATCTTCGATGAAATCTCTCGTTCTTGGTACGTAGACGTAGCCCTCATTGAGGTGATCGACTTTAATTCTTGGCTGGACGGAATTCGACCGACGAAACTCCGGGAATCGGCGAAAGAAATCTTGGTTTCTCTCTTTTCTCTCATACGTTAAAACCAGCAGAGTTCAACTGATATTTTGTGCAAAATATCTAATTTTAGTCCCTATTTATAATTTTCAAGACTTGGCCCTCGTTGCACCAAGTGTCCCCCGCTTGCTCGAGTTCATTTTCGCCCTGAAATGATTTATTTGATCCCGGTTTAAGTTTAAATTACTTTTATTTAAAATTTTATTCAATTATAAGAAAATTTTATAAATTTTATTTTTGGGGATCTTTGAAAGGTAATTCGTTACCAATTGTCTAGTAAAATGTGTAAAATTTGACTATTTCAGAATTCGATAAAAATTGACAGGGCAGCTCGATTTCGCGAGACGAATCCAACGATGAGGTCTTTTGCGTCATCTGAGCTCTAGAAAATATAGATTTTAAACCCGCATTATAGTGATAAATTACCATTTTACCCTTTTTCTGGAAAAGTTTAAATAATTTTTTTTTTTTGGGTTTTACAGGAAAGTTATGCTGATAATCGCCGATGTAACTTAGAATTCGAGGTGGGTGATCGAATATTTTTACAGGTATCAATTTGGAAAGGGGTCATTCTTTTTTGCAGGAAATGAAAGTTGGCTCCCAAGTATATTGGTCCATACAACATTGTAGAGCGGGTTAAAGCTGTTGCATGCCGATTGCAGTAGAGTTATCCAGTTGATACCCACGAAGACGATACCATTGGTAAAGGTTTTGTGGCGTAATCACTCAGTGGAGGAAGCAACTTGGGAGATTGAGGAGAGTATGCGGACGCAATATCCACATTTGTTTAGTGCAAGTAAGTAATTTCAAGAACGAAAGTTTTATTAGTGGGGGAGAGTTGTGAGACCTAATCACGCATTGCATGCATAGTAATATAATTTTGTGGGCTAAATTATAATTATATAAAATTATTAAAGGGGTTAATTAAATTAAATCTTTCATAAACACGATGTGAGTGAGTATACATTGGGTATGTGGACCCCGTTAGTGATATATTAGTGAGATTCATTTATAGGAATTTCATATATAAAAATACTAGTGGGTTAATTTCGAAATCATTTAAAAATTTGAGAGGCGGTAAGCATAATTATTCAATTTAATGACTCACCTTTACATGTGTTGGCTTAAAAAAAAGAAGAAAAAAAATGTGTCGTGTGTGTGTGTGTTTAAAGGTGTAAAGTGTGTGTGTTAAGTAAAATATAAAATGGGTGTGTGTGTGTGTGTGTGAGTTTAATATAGAAAACATAATGTGTGTGTGTACTAAAGCTGAGAGTGAGGTGAACAAGAGAGCAAGAGAAAAAAAAAACAAAGAGAAGAGAACCGTGAGTGACTGTGAGCAAGAGATAAAGAAAGAACAAAAAATAAGTGTGTGTCCATCTGAACCGTGAGTAAGGAAGGTACGTGAGACTCAATTTACCCATAAGTTGTGATTAATTTTAGTATATATGTCATTGTACATGTGCGAGCTGTTTTAACATGTATTAAATTAGTGGTTATTTTAATTTAATTCATGGACTGTTTTGGTTAAAATAATAGGTTGTTTTAATTTAAATTTCATGGGCTGATTTTGGGTGTAATTAAGTATTTAGAATAATTAATGGGCTGTTAAAAAATAGGTTTCAAATGCGTATTAAACTAAAAGTGAGAAAAATGTGAAAAATTGTTATTTGAGATGTTTGATATGTTTTTTGAGAGATAGGTTGAAAACGAAAATTATGAGAATGAAATGAATGGTTTAAAAGCCCAATTAGGGGTTGTTTTGCATTGATTAAATGTGTATGTGAATTTAAGTGTGACAGTTTTAAATAAAAAGTGCGATAGAACGCCAAAACTCTGATTTCTAAATGTTATTATAACATGTGTGAATTTTAATCCAATTGACCTAAATTTTTGCATACAACATTTTTAAATGATGCTTTATGTGATAATGTGACTTTTGAATGCAAATGAATATAATATCCAATGCGACATGTATGAAATATCGAAAGTGCAGTTTTTAGGATTCAGGGTCGAAATGTGTAAAAATGGGCTTCCGGTCAATATGTTTGACCTACTTAATCCTAATTGTGATTAATGTGAGTGATTTTAGAAATTTGGGGAGGAAATGTGATCCCTATAACAAAAGTGCTAATGTGTAAGTAGATAGTGCGGTAACCAGGGTTACCAAGGCACTTTGAGGTGCATTATTTGCATGCATTAGTGCATGATTAACTATTAAATGTAATAAACATATTGATATTGTAATTACAAATATGTTAGGTGGAACGAGTGAAACAGTTGGTATTGGAACAAATATGATTGCACCAAAAGGATCCAACGATAGGACCGAAGGGCCATAAATTTGTACATCTGATGTGGGTGTATATATTTATATGTTTTGAAAATGTTATTATAAGATGATAGTAAATGATAAAATTTAATAGTATTTCTCTAGAATTATATGCTACTTGCCTATGTGATTGAATGATGCTTTGTATTCTGTATTGTGGAATGTGGTGCACTATTTGAGATAGGGGCGTCGATGCCTGATCACTGGGCGTGTAGTAGTGTGCTAGCACTGTGGTGTTCCCGGGAGGTTCGGGAGACATGGATCCATGTGGAATCGATTACCCGATGAGAGGTAGTGTGAATGTGATGTGACTTGTGAATTCTCTAGAATTGGATTGATGTTGTTGTTTGATACGTGTATTTAAGTAGCATCTACCTACTTCAGTATATTACTATCATTTTCATTTCATATACAACATGTATACTCATTGAGCGCGTGGTTTAGCTCACACCCTTACAACTTCTTCTTTTCATATACTATAGAGAAGGATACAGACCGGTCCATTGTCTAGTTGATTGAGTTTTGTGCAACATTAGTGTGATATCACTCAGGTTGAGTGTCAGTATGACTAATTCCTGGGTTGTGTATTATATATATGAAAGATTATTATGGCAGGTTAATATACAGTATATATTTGCAAATAGACTCAACAAGCATACCTTGTGAGAAATACTATGTGGGTGTGAGATTTTGTATATGTCTATAACCTGCGAAACAAACAATTAGTACATGTGTTTTATATATAAAACAGGTTATGAGACAGATTTTACCATCATACTTAATGATTAAGGTGATGGACGGTGTTATTGCACCTGCGAGATTATTTAATGTTTGATTAGTCCAGATTATAATAATTGTAAACAGGTGTATTAAAAATCTAGTCACATCTCATCCTTGGATAACCGGAATGGGCTGTGACAAGCTTAATGATAAATTCCAAGTGTTCCAACTAGAATAATGGTAAATCTATGATACCAAAAAAACATATTGTACTAAAAATTAAAATTTTAAAGGTTAAGTTACAACTTTTAATAAATAAGTTGGAACTCTTTGAAGTTATTCGATCAATTAAAGTGATCGATTATAAATATTGTAATGAATTATAAGATGTTATGACGATCACAAATTGCCTTTAAAATATTTACTTCTACCTTTGAAATATGTATTTTTTGTGGTCAATCATTTTTAAGTTATAACTTGATCTTGAAATGCTGTAACTTGACCAAAATTATTTCATATTTCACCATGGTATCTCCTTTGATACCATTAGGATAGTAATATTAGAAACATTTAAAATGCCACATCATTATGTGCCAAATAATAGTACTCTTTATAGTTTAAAAAATAGAATTTTTTTTCATAAATTCTTTTTGTAAGCTTGAATTTCAAGCAAGCATGACTAATTATAATTTAATCAACAAATTAGAAATTCGTAGGAGAAGAGAATACATGCAAATACTATACGAAATATTTGATTTTTTTCAATTTGCTATAGTTGTCATGAATTTCTTATGAAATTGCATCTATATATTTGAATTCTAAAGTTAATAGAAATTGATTAAATTATTTTTGATTGACCTCTTGAAATTCAAGATTGCGTGTTTTCTAATAGATTAATTTTTTTTTTCATATGCTTATAACTAAATATTTTTACATTTAAATTTTGATTGTTATAAATCATATTTGAAATACCTTATATTGTTTGATTAGTTTTCTTATCAACATATTTTGTAATAAATTGAATAGTTTTAACATTATGATTTAAATTTTAACAATTAGTTATAATTTGCCTGCATTGCACATAAATCCTAGCTACGCCTCCGAGGGCATGTGTTGTTTGATAAATTTGAGCAATTTTGGAAGAATGGGTTTAAGAAAAATAGTTCGATAAACCATTTAATTTCATGTGTTGGTTAAGACATTTATATCCAAGATTTATATTTCGACCATAAGTGGTATGGAATTTTAAACCCCTATACACAAGGTTGGGCAAACCCATGCGAGTTTCATATATGTTAGTTTAAGTTAATTATGTCAAATGATTTTTTTATCCCTAATAAACTATCTTATCTATCAAAATCACGTCACAACCTTCACAATTACTTATCTATGTAATTAAACAAACATACGTATGAATTAGATCAACTAATAAATAATATAATTATTTATAAAATAAATACATAATAATAATTATGATAAATATGTGAGTCCCACGTTATTTAAATTACTTCCCAAACGTCAGTTTGGATTGAATTCCCAATGGGGTCATCCATCATGCCCTAACTGGCCCTTTTGCAAGGCTCAAATAGTGAGCAATTTCGTGTCGGTGACTCCAGCACCTGGTAAAGAAGATTGACCTTTCTAGGTTCTGCTAATCGGCATTAATTACACATTTTACAAACCTACAAGTTTTATCAAACAGTCAATTCAATCGAAAGAAACAAGACAGCCCGAAAACGAATTGCATCGATCGACCCCTGAGCCCCTGACTGAATTTCATCGAACAGTCAATTGAATCTGTTGTTGAAGTGCTGAATTTCTAAATTTACGTTTCTTGAAGAGGTAAGCGATCGCTTCGTCCCCAATTTCATTCTCATTCGTCGAATTTTGTGCATCAGAAACACTCAATTTTGTTTGAATTACTAGTAAAAGAGATGAAACCAAATCCTCCATCCCAATTGCAGAATCGAGTTTCTTTCCATATCTTTGTCACCAAAGCTTTTGAAATCATTATAGGAGTGAAAAGTTTTCTTTTATTCTCTGTTTTTTTGCAGGTTTTAGGTTTTTAAAAGTTCTAGGGTTTTTCATGGAAGAGGTTGGGAGTGATGGTGCCTCGCCGTTGGCACCGCTGGCCAAGTGGAGAAACGATTTTTCGAGGGCGTTTCAGTATTATTTGGATAGGTCAACTCCTCATCCAGTAGAGAGGTGGGTCGGAACTCTTGTGGCTATGGCGATTTACGTATTGAGGGTTTATTATCTTCAAGGTTTCTACATCGTGTCGTATGGTTTAGGAATTTATATCTTGAATCTGTTGATTGGGTTTCTGTCTCCAAAAATTGATCCAGAGCTGGAAGCTTTGGATGGGGCTTCGTTGCCAACGAAAGAATCAGATGAATTTAGGCCTTTCATTCGCCGTCTTCCTGAGTTCAAGTTCTGGTAAGATAGATGTTCCTTATGCAGATTTTTGTCTTGATAAGCTCAGCTTGTGAATCTTGTAGCTTATAGCTCACATGTTATTTTTGAAACAATTTTAGTAGATTTGCTACCCTCGAAGGTTAGAGAAACCATTTTATGGTGCTCATTTAATTTCTAAACTACATTTACTCTCCGTTTTCATTAGTTCTATTAATTTGGGTTTTTCTTGGCCACTTGATCATTTGATTAGAAAAGGGGGAACACTTAATTTCTTGGTGGCGCTTTAAAGCTTTGCATTGACTTTGTTTGCTTTTTCCAACCTTTTAATGGATCTTTGGAGCTGAATAGATTGATTTCCATGTGATTCTAAGGTGGTTGTTATTGTTAGTGATGCCTGGTTTCTTAGCATCAATTTCCAAATCAGCTTGGTTTTTGAATTGTTTTATTCCGTCAAATATCTTTTGAAAGCATGCTTTCACGTGACAGCGTGGGTTGTAAACCACACTTTTAATGGTAATAATTTGAAACCACTTTACAAAACTTTCCAAGTGAGATTTGTAAACACACTTTCAAATTTGCAAAGCGATTATTATTTGGGAAATAAGTTAGAAACCACGTTACAGATATAATTAAAAGTCAAATGAAGTGTGATTTGGGAAAAACTCTGGTTTCTAAATCCTTTTCCTTTGTTATTGGTTGTTTGAATCGGTATGGTTAATGAGGAATTTAATGAATAAATATATCTTTTCCCTGTCACTATGGTTCTATGTGAAGGCACTTATCCAAAGAGATAGAGAAAACGGCAGTTTTGTGTGAAGGCAGTATCAGATGCGAAGAATGGCCAGAGTTAAAGATCTGTGGAGCCGCTGATATTATTAGCTGGACATATTGCCCGAATGATGGATCACAGATAAATGTTTGTGATATGAAGTCATATTCCGCATTGAACCCCCAATCAATTCTTTTTTTTTTTCCTAATACCCTCCCTCCCCCCAAAAAAAAAAAAATAATAAATAAATAAAAAATCACTTGATAATTTGTGTGTCCTGTGCATTTTCCGATCATTTGCTGAAAATAAACTTTCCTTTTGTTTCCAATATCAGGTATGCCATCACAAAGGCTTTCGTTGTGGCCTTTGTAATGACCTTCTTTTCTGTATTTGACGTTCCAGTTTTCTGGCCCATACTACTCTGCTATTGGATCGTTTTATTTGTGCTCACAATGAAGCGTCAAATCATGCACATGATCAAGTACAAATATGTTCCTTTCGACTTTAGAAAGCAGGTGAAAGTTTCCCAATCATCCAATGGTTTTCCTTCTAGTTCTTCTTTTGATTTTGTTTGTTCTGGTTCGAATTGTGGTGATTGAGGCTGGATTTGGTGGAGACTTGTCTTTCTGAGTGAAATATATAATATCTGGTCGTCTTTGTTTTTTGACAGAGGTATAGTGGGAAGAAGTCTGCTGCAAGCAGCAGTGGCTCATCGAGAGACTGAAGTTGGACTGATAGGAGTGACATAGACCTTCAAGGCTTCAAGTTCATTATGTATCCATATTTCACGTATATGTTGCTGGTTTCATTCTGTTTGGATTCCCAAGGATCGCAATTTGCGTGATTCAGAATTCTGATCTTCCCCATTGTCTCTACTTGTCCAGTGTAATTTGTTAGTGGCCAAGTCTGTATGTTATATGACTCAGATGTTTTCCTTTTTTCAATGTATATATGTTTTAGAAGCTTCCTGTTGGGTTTGGTTAACACAGCATCATTAAAGGGGATACTTTTTGAACTGGAGCATGAATCGTTAGATAGAAGGAAAGAGGATGGGTAGGTAGGGGATACTTTTTGAACTGGAGCATGAATCGTTAGATAGAAGGAAAGAGGATGGCTACCCACCCCTTTTGCAGGAAGTCTTTGTGGGTAGGATGTCACTCAGGAAATTCCACCCTTCTGGACAAAACTATTTCCTTTACATGATGAAATGGCTNAATCAATTCTTTTTTTTTTTCCTAATACCCTCCCTCCCCCCAAAAAAAAAAAAATAATAAATAAATAAAAAATCACTTGATAATTTGTGTGTCCTGTGCATTTTCCGATCATTTGCTGAAAATAAACTTTCCTTTTGTTTCCAATATCAGGTATGCCATCACAAAGGCTTTCGTTGTGGCCTTTGTAATGACCTTCTTTTCTGTATTTGACGTTCCAGTTTTCTGGCCCATACTACTCTGCTATTGGATCGTTTTATTTGTGCTCACAATGAAGCGTCAAATCATGCACATGATCAAGTACAAATATGTTCCTTTCGACTTTAGAAAGCAGGTGAAAGTTTCCCAATCATCCAATGGTTTTCCTTCTAGTTCTTCTTTTGATTTTGTTTGTTCTGGTTCGAATTGTGGTGATTGAGGCTGGATTTGGTGGAGACTTGTCTTTCTGAGTGAAATATATAATATCTGGTCGTCTTTGTTTTTTGACAGAGGTATAGTGGGAAGAAGTCTGCTGCAAGCAGCAGTGGCTCATCGAGAGACTGAAGTTGGACTGATAGGAGTGACATAGACCTTCAAGGCTTCAAGTTCATTATGTATCCATATTTCACGTATATGTTGCTGGTTTCATTCTGTTTGGATTCCCAAGGATCGCAATTTGCGTGATTCAGAATTCTGATCTTCCCCATTGTCTCTACTTGTCCAGTGTAATTTGTTAGTGGCCAAGTCTGTATGTTATATGACTCAGATGTTTTCCTTTTTTCAATGTATATATGTTTTAGAAGCTTCCTGTTGGGTTTGGTTAACACAGCATCATTAAAGGGGATACTTTTTGAACTGGAGCATGAATCGTTAGATAGAAGGAAAGAGGATGGGTAGGTAGGGGATACTTTTTGAACTGGAGCATGAATCGTTAGATAGAAGGAAAGAGGATGGCTACCCACCCCTTTTGCAGGAAGTCTTTGTGGGTAGGATGTCACTCAGGAAATTCCACCCTTCTGGACAAAACTATTTCCTTTACATGATGAAATGGCTTTTTAGGGATCTAGATCCCTCCAATTTTTCGTACGCAATTTTCCTCCTTGGTACCATGTATTAGTGAGGGACCTACTTATATATAATGAGTTCTACTTCAATTCTCGGTAGATGATCTAATAAGAAGGATAATGGAGTAAAAATGTATTGGAAGAGATTTAACTCTGGTTTTCAGGGTCTGTTGGCCTCTGATGGCGGAGTACCTTAATTCTTGTTTGCCATGCACGGAAGCAGTGTAACGTTTTAGGTCTGTTGGTTCTTAATCCCTTTTTATGTTCCATATTTTATCTATTGTTTGGTTAGAAAAAAATTAACCCGGCCTCGATCTTTAGCTGAGCTAAGTGATTATAGAACTTTAAGGCTTGAAGCAATGAAGATGGCACCAGTTTGGTTGTTCAAGGGAGTACCTTAACCTGGGTTTTAGTAGACCTTGACCAGGATAAGAAAATGCCAGATGGGAATATGTCTACATCATATGGTCGACTGGTATAACAACTTCCAACTAATGAACAGAAAATCATAAGGTCGTTGTCAAGTATCTGACTTTACTTATGCACACAAAAAACACATAAGAATATCAAATTGCGTGGTGGTTTGGAATTTTATAATACACCATTATGTGATTGGTTTATCAAACATGGCCAGCTACGTTGTTATAGGTCTTCTCCTGCTATTATAGTTGTTGCATAAAAGCTCTCAAACATCTTGATGTATCTTCCATAAGTCTCCAACAAATGAGGGGGAGAGCCATTGTTTTGATATTATTCTTCTGGGCAGTCCTCTCAATCGTCACCCCTACGCTAATTCGCTTGTCTGCAGCTGCCAAGCCCTACTCGGAGTCTAATGGTATGCAATTCAAAGTTATGCATGCACATCCATTTTTTTTTCTTTTGCTAAAGGTTTTCTCTTCTTATCAGTTGATATTAAGATAATATGCCTTTCATCATTTCATTCTAATGAAACTTAAACTTGAGATTTTGCAGGCGATGGAGGGGAAGGAAGGATGGTTCGGATAGAAATGAAGTTGTTGCCCAGAAGAGCACTTGTAGCTACATCACAGCCACAGGTGGCAGTTCCACCACCAACACCAACACCAACACCAGCCCCAGCCCCAGCCCCAGCCCTACAACCAGATTTTGGAATTAGAAAGCTTTAGAAACTCTGAGATGGGGGATCAAGTTGAGCACAACGTAGCCCATAACCAGAGCACAAGATCATGCCAAGTCTCAAAACTGCAGTTGTTCAAGAACATTAAGATTTGGAAGTGTTAAGCTAACCCTCTTGAGATATGAGCTTAAACTTATTGGATCAACCGTTTCTAATGTCAGCCATGATTGTAAATATGACACTAAGAGGTCCAGAAGGGACTGCGTTAGTGTCTGTATTGAAAACATTTTTTTTTTGTCACTTTTAATACATGGTAAAGGAAAATAAGAGATATAACTTATCAATTCGAACAAAATTTTGTTGCTGTGAAGTGGATTTTTCACCATTTTCAATACTGTGCTTGGTTCTTCCTTTGTTTGGACCCGAAATATTGTTGTGGTAGCTTTGCGATCGATCCTAACATGATCATGGTTGGTTTGTTCAAATTTCTGATGGGAACTTCTGGTATTCAGGAAAAATAAGCATCGTCATCCTCTATTATTGTGAGCCTTTTATGAATTTATTAAGCTTAATCTGCTGTTCTCAAAATCATTATTGTAATCCTGTTGACAGAGATTTCAGAATTGACAGTGAGGTGGTGATTTCTTTTCAGCTTCAAAAGCACGCGAAAACGAAGATGATGACATTTAGGTGGTTGAACCAATTCCTATAGCTACTCATATAATAGCTCCCTCAATTTAAATTACTTCAAATAGTAATAAAGATGAGTTACAAGTCTAAATATTCTAAATTCGAATTTTAGCAACTCCTTGAAGTTAGTCCATAAAAGATTTATTTTTTATAAATATTTTAATCGCGATGTGGATGACTTACTTTTAATTAGATTGAAGAGAAAATTAGTCGTGTTGTAATTATGGTTATAGACCCCATTCTTTTGGATGGCTTTATTTCTATGACAAAACAACTTCGGTGAATATTAATGATGTATAAAGTTGACTATGCACGATCAAATCAGTCGAATGTATGATGTAAAGTAATTAATGAAACAATTAATAATAAGAAATAAAAATTGAGTTGTTGGGTTTGGGTGACTTAACCATTGAAGGCGACAGCAGTGGTCGGAGAACTTTATTAATGAGAGAGTACAAGGTAGTAGGAAAGACAAAGAGAGAGAGCAAAAGTACATTCAAAGTGAGGTGTGTAAGCTCCGCCACCATGTGTGGGGGAGGGCATGGGTGCACAAGGAGGGTCTACAATTTACAGGCACAGAACCTTAATTGTGGCAGTGACGTAAAGATTAAACTACTAATTTATCAGGAAAGATAACTACAATTTGGGGATAGACAGTATCTCTTGGAATAATGGGTATCCCGTTGATTGCTTTCTCACGTACGTTGACTTTTCTTGAACTTTGGATTGGACGGAGACCATAAGCTAAGTTTGGCCTATCTTTTGATAATTTGAACTCAACCTATCAACTGAGCCCAAACCTAATTTGAATCAGAGGTCGTCAAATATAATCATTAAATTTCATTTGAATGAGATAGTAAATAAATGGTACGACAGTAAAACCAATGATCAAAATATCGTTTTGAAACGGTCGAAACATCCAAAATGTTTTCGTTTTCAAGAAAATTGAAACGAAACATTGATAAAATCAAAATTCTAATATTTCGAGATATTTCATAATATTTTGAGATGTATTATGATATTTCAATGCATTTGCACAATTGTTTCGAAATATTTCAAAATATTTTAAGATATTTTGATATATTTAAATCAATATTTTTAAAAAATAATTCTTAAATTGTTTATTTTTTTCATTATATTTTTGAAACAGATCGAAATATTTCTGAAATACATCGAAACGTTTTCGTTTCTTAGGTGACCAAAACAATATACTAAAACAAAATTTTAATCCTTGAGTAAAACCTTCTGTGCTTGAGAAAAAAATATGGAGGAAAAAAAATTTATATTTTCAACCCTAAATGGTTGGATTAAAACTCGATTTACTTCAAAGCAAAGAATCATCATTAAAACTTTAAGGGGCTGTTTATTTGAAGTATTAGAGTGGTACAAATGAATGATATTAGGGAAATAGTACGTAGGGCCCACCTTATACCTTGTTTGTTTAACATTTTATCATTGATACTATTTTTTGGGTCGTAATACCGACCCGACATGAACGGTGACTTAAATGTCTTGTATACGGTGCTATTGAATATCACCTACCATGTGGTATTTGACTTAAATGTCTTGTATACGGTGCTATTGAATATTACCTACCATGTGGTATTATCTTTCCGATACAAATAAAAGGACAGTATAAGAGACTAAAATAATACAAATGCCCTCGTGTACAATTATTTTTTTAAGGTTACAAAGTTATAATTGTCTTTTTATCACCCATAGTTGCAATTGTTGACTTTTTTAAATAAGTATTACACAGATAATGTTTGTAACAAACAAACAAGAGGAAGAATGAGATTATAATTTAAGACCGAATATAATATACCATTGAATAGGAATAAAATGAAAATGATTTCTAATACCATTGAAATTTAGTACTCAAAACAAACAACCCCTAAAAGTAATAACTACATCAAGCATCAATACCTAACAAACAGTAATATCAATCTCATATCAGGTACCATATTGTCAAATTTTACAAAATTGTGTGTTAGAAGTACATGATTTCAAGTTTGTTTAAGTATAAAAAAAGTTACAATTTTTGAAACAATTTTTATCGGTTATTTATAATTTTTGTGAGTCATTTAGGATCGAATGTAAAATCACAAGCAACCTCAAAATTATAAATGACCCTTAACAAAAGTTATAAATAACTATTGAAATTGAAAAAATAAATTATAAAATTTATAATGACGGTATGGTACAAAAAAAAAATTCCGTACCATCCTATTGCCAGCAGACAAAATGATCCACCCACCTGAATGCATCTGAGTGGTGCTCCTTATGAGGAGATATGAAGTCAAACCTTATTGATGAAGTTGCTGGTGAAATCATGACAGAATAAACCACCAAGGCATTGGAAATGATTGGTTTCAAATAGCTGTGATTGTTCTCAGAACAATTATCATTCTTACAAAAGCAGCAATCTTTTGATGTTCACTGCCACACAATGCAGTTTTACCCTGTATCTCATTGTGGCCAATTTGGCCACCAGAGTCCAAAAAAGCTACCATCAGCACTCTTTGAGAAACAAGTCCAAGCATAAACTGATTTAAAAAAGCAAACTGTTCTGCTTTGAGCAGATAGACATACACTCTGTCACCCCTCCTCGGACTCAGAAATCAAAAATCAGCAGTCCTCCGAACATGAACCATTGACAGCAAAACATCGAATTGCTTGAACATACCGTATATCTTAGTGTTACGTTTTAGGCAGAAATAGAAAATTTTCAGCAATTCTCACAAGAAGATAGAACTTTGCCATTGATATGAAACTGCAGAAGTTTAAGTAATAACATCTTTTAACAAGTTCCCCACAATAACAAGACGATACGCCAAACATAACTCAGAAGATTCCCTATAGTGGTAATCAATTATTAATCTCAAGATGCAACAACAAACGCAAAAGCTTGAATCTCTCTCTCAAACAAACTGATCAAGATATTCTTCCACAGTGGTGTACTTGACATCCGGATAAAGCTCAGAAGCTTCAACCCCGAAAGATGGCTCAATCTCAAAGTTGGTGTGATCTCCCTTAACAAAAATTGAGTGGTTGATTGCTAATATAATATTGACTGGAAGTGGACTCTCTGCAATGATGGGTAAGATTCATAAATAAGTCAATTAATGGTATGGATTTTGGAGATTAAGGAAAAGAAATAAATGTTTACAAGCTAGATCATATTTGGTTAGAATTTTTTAATGAGATTTGTCAAAATGATTTAAAGGATTCTGCTAAAAGTCTTTTAACTGACCTTCAATCTGTTTCAAAAGCTGTTCCTCTGAAACATAGATTTTCTCGAGAGTTTTACCAATCTTCTTCTCCCATAAGGCAACAAGCTCATTGAATGAGTAAGTGTTTTTTGGGGGCCTGATATAGAGGATCTTGTTCAATGTTCTTGGGTCATCCACAGCTTTGATGGTAAAGGTGCCAATGTCATGTTCCTCATTAAATACAGCTGTAAAACAAAGTAAGAAAGAAGGAAAAAAATAAAACATGTGCACAGTGCTTTCTACACAATATTATAGACCAAACTAAAAAAGTAAAACCAGACAAGAACAAAGTAGAATTGTATGAAAGGGATATGCCAACTTTCGCCTATCTAAGGCTAAGGGAGTATGCATTTCAATGAGGTCTGCCATTGGTGATATCCACATCCCACATTCCCCCTTTGTTTATCGATGCAAAGTTCTGAGTGCTCCGAGTTCAGAATTCAACTGTGCATTGGTTGAGAACTTAGTGGGCTTTCACTATACTATCATAGTTATTTCAGGAAAGCCGTCATACTATAAATGTTGGCGATGCCTGTTTTATCCTCGTTCACGGTTAATATATATGGATTTCACTGTATTCGTGCTTAAAAAGGTTCAAGTAACTTCTAGTTCATACACAAAAAGATAAAGATGTCATGTGAAGTCCTAAACAATCTAACTTCTTGTGTCCAAAAAGTTTATTTCCTTTCTAGAGATAAAATTCCAAATTTTACACCTGAAAGATTAAACCTCACTGAGGGAAAACAGAATATGATTATGCATTCACAGATGTTAGAAAGTTTTGTTGATGGCTCATAGTAATGAACCTGTAGGTAAAAGTAACTCTCATGCCATACATGGAGTTTTGGACCTCTGGAAAGGGGAGGGTAATGTGGGTTTCATAGGTATTTAAAGTACCTTTGGGATTTCCATCCCCTAAGATGGTAACTTTATCTCTTGGTGGAGCAGTGGCTCCCAGCTGCATCAATGTTGGGAGGAAATAGGCAGCAAAGCAGTTGGCGGACACGTATGTGTAAGGAATTCCTTCTGCCTCAACAGTACGGCGAATTTGGGCCTTGAATGCGAATGCAGATTTTGCTGGCTCAACAGCATGAGCATGATCCACATCGTTCCCAAACTCTGACGGGAAAAATCTCTGAACAGTTCAAGAAAATTATAAGAGAAAAAAGAGTATCTTTCTAGTGTGATGGATTAGAAATGAACACAAAGAAATCTGGACAGTAGCGGATAAAGATATCTGATTAATATTGTTCATGCTTAGGAGAAAAGAAGAGATGGATGTACCCAGTAAGTAACATTGTACCATGTATTCATCATAAGATGTACCTATCTGTTGACTAAATCCAAGTCTACAATAGATTGTACGTCTAATATTAAAACGTCCCAAGATCAACCATTGAAGAGGCTTAGTCCAGACCGGATAGAAAAAGTTGTTTGAAAATTGAAATTCTTGAGAGTACACTATTCAATCTCCCCCAAACTCTCCTTCTTTTCCCTCCAGAGATCCCACTAAAGCCTAAATTAGTGAATAGAAATCATGTTAGACATAATTTTGGATAACTAATACTAATTATATTTTTTTTTGTAAAACTGCGTCCATCTTACTCTTACCCTCTAAGTAGGTGGAGGCTCATGGAGAGGCCCGCGCTTATCTACGAGTAGCTATTATTATAGGAAACCAGAAAAATATACGAAAAATCCATAAACTTAGGCAGGCTGTTCAGGCAGAGGACAAATGGAATGAAAGGAACATAAAAAGAAAGAACAACAAAAGTGATAAGGACAACAAATGAACACACAAACCTTAACATTTCCAGCTTCTTTAATGGCAGCAATGATCTTAACCTGATCACCTATCTGCATGTGTCCCACAGTCGATATCACCACATCCACCTGCTTTATTGCCTTCACTAATCCTTCATGATCATACATATCTCCCTGACCCAAACAACATATTCCATCAATTCTACAAAATCCAAATCACACACACACATATATATATCGATTTGTTTATACATACATAGATCAGAGTGACACCGAGGTTCCTGAAGCTCTCGACGAGTTTTCCCTTAACGGGATCAGAAACTGTGCTTTCTCGGACCAGAGCAAAGGTGGGGTGGCCAGCCTTTGCGCTTGCTTCAACAACGAATTTTCCGATGTACCCAGTTCCTCCGATGATCAGAATCTTGCTTTTCTCAGCCATTTAAATTTTCCGGGAAAAGAAAACGAAACTTTCTGGGAAGAATTGGTGGGCAGTATGAAGAGGTAAACGAGAAAGTTCTCAGGATCTCGTGTCAGCTCTGGACCAGCAGGAGCACTATTTAATGGAAAGCATGGGGAATACAAATTTACGAAAGTGACCTTTCACCCCAATCATTTTTCTTTGTTTTCAAGGTTTCTTTTCCTCAATATGTGGGGCCTCACTTTCCCAAAAAAAAAAGAAAAAAAGAATATGTGGCCCCCCATGAGCTCCCCTGTCATGTATTCGCTAGAGAGAGTAATTTAATGTAAGCTTTTTTTTATTATTGTTGTGGTGGTTAAAAAATAATAATAAAAATATCTATAAATATAATAAATTATTCATAAAAGTAATAATTTTTTTGTATCAAATAAAAATAATAAAAATAGTTATTACAAATATGATTAAAAATTGAAAAAAGTGATAAATTATCCATAAAAATGATAAATTTTTTTAATTATAAAATGACTCACAAAAATTATAAAAACACATATTAAAATAGTAAAAATTGGAGTTATGATATTAAAAACATTTATTCAATGCCATGATCAAGTCCTGTTAAAATGATTTCACAATATGGTTAATTTATTATATATCTATTATCAATTATTTTTATAGTTAATTTATCATACGAAGTATTACTAATGTCACGAGATCACCGTTATACTAAATATTTACACATTTCGTTGATAGTCAAATCCGTCTTGGTATGAACGAAATTGATTGGTATTAACATGTTTCGATTATAGGATTATAATAATTAATTTCTTGTGCTTTTTATATTTAATTATATGTAATTCTTAAACAAATGACTTGTTAATTGATAAATGTTTGTTTTTATAATTGATTGTGTTATGTTGAGTGTACATCTTAACCACCGATCTAACAAATATTAGGTCAATCAATTTCTCAACTACAAAAAAAATTAGTCAAAACCTTCCAAAGTTTGATGAAATTGGTGGATAAAGTATCACATTTAATTGGTCGATTGGGCCTTAAAAGTCGATGGAAAAAAGAAAAAGAAAATTGGGTTAGGTAAAAGTTGATTTTGCTGTTAATGAATCGAGCCGTCGTAACGTTAATCATTCATTTTTGAATAGGAAATGGTGGATAGTAGTGGTTGATGGATGTGAGTGACATGGGGCGAATTCATTTTTGAAATAGGAAATGGTGGATAGTAGTGATTGATGGATGTGAGTGACATGGGGCGAAGAAATCGGCAAAAACTCTAGGCAATATTTTTTTTCAAGTTATTAACGGTAAGAAGTTTTTGGGTTAATTTATATTATCTATGTCGGGACTAGTGAATTTATAAAATATAAGTATCTCATAATTTGACTTCAAAGGTATACGAACTGGAGATATATGAATTTATTATTCGTCTTTGTTATTACTTAAACTACTACCCTATTGGGATTATAATTTTTTTTTTTACTTTCAATTTTGAAGTAAACGACAATTAGCCTGATAATTTAGCTATATTATTGGGATATCATTTGGGGGTATAATAATTGTGACCATTAAATTTTCAGTAGTTAGGTTTGTTAACAAATTGAGTTTAGATCGAATTTTAAATGATTTGAATCCGACTTCAAAAAAGCTGATTCGAATCCGATAGATTTTATTCTCATGGTCAATATCTGAATCCATTAAAAATATGAAATTCGAACCGAAAATCTTAATAACTTAATTAACTAATTTTTAACAAATTATACCTAAATTTCAACTAATTTTTTTTTAAATAATCACTTAATTTGGATTATTGATAAAAAAAAATGTTAATCCATATTCAGCTAATCAAATTCGGTTCAGAATCCGATCCATTGGCAGACGCTATCAATCCAATGATCACAATATAATTAATATATCTCTAAATTATCTCCAATGAATGATTTAATATATGGAATATTGATTTGAGTTCGTTTTGAATTAGAATCCTATTAGTGGCATAGGAAATTAATTTTTTTTCATCGATTATTCGAATTTGAAACTCCATCTGTATGAATCATATTTTATACATTCAAATTTAGATATACCACTATGATTTGTAAATAATGATGAAATTGAGTAGAAATTAGGATTTAATATGTTAAATAATTTCTAATTCCATAATTTGAGCCGGATAGGATTTTTAATTGAAAAACAAATTTGGATTGTTATGAAAATGAAGTATTACCTTAGGAATCTTCTAGAAAGAATTGACAACAAATCCGGATTTCTATTGTCCGTGTCTTACGTTTGAGGCATTGCACTAATGATAAACAAACCTCCTCCATGCAATACTCCAACTTGGAATTGGTCCAATTGTTTCTTCCTTGGAATCTACGTATATAATATATAACTACAATTCTTTGTAGCTGGCCAATCTTACCTCTAATGATTGGGTAACCAAAGTTAATTTACATCCCTATAAACAAAAAAAATAAGAATTAAGAGAAGAATGGTGATTATCCTCGACCAAATTTCAATGAGTAACTCAAATGATATAGACGAAAGATAAATACAGATATTTTGAATTCAAATTTTGACAATCCCTTAAAATTAGGTCATGAGAGATAAATTTATCCCTGATTTAGTTAAAAACATACAATCCATATCAAAACTTGAGTATTCTCGTATTTAAACTTCAAACCTCATGAATTATGAAACTTTGAGCTTTTCTCCTCAAACTTGTTAATGATTCCAAATTTTGGAACTTTTTTTTATGGTGAAGTTAAGGCAATGACAACCAAAGTTTTTTTTTTTTTTTTGTTATAGGTAGTTAAGGCTTGCACCGACGACCGAAGTTTTGAACAGTACTACTTACATGGAAATTTGCATGGCAATGGTTGTTGTGATAAAACGAGTGTGTGGTATTGTTATCGTTAAATTTGTCTATAACATGGGTTATATATGTTTGGGAGAAGTACATTAACTCGTTTACCGGTTTAAATATTAGGCATACATAGAAATTGGGTGTAGAAATAAAATTTGTTCAATTTTAATTTAGAATTTCATTTTTTATTCCCAGCCCAGCCCATAGCAGTTCAGCCCATTAACCTCATTCCTTAGTTGCCTTTAGGAGTGTCAATGGGCCGGATTGCTCATATGTCTCGTTATTATGCCCGAACTCGAACCTAATATCTTTGATGAGAGGGCTTGGGCCTACCCCAAACCCATTACTCGACTTTAAACTTGGCCCAATAGACCTGCCCACAAAATACCCGTTAAAATTCAACCCAAGAGCCCACCTACCCCTCCCAGCCCAATGGGGCCCCCTTTCGCCCATCATAGTCAAAACATGGAAATAAGTTCCCTAATTTCAAAATTTGAAGTTTTAGAAATTTAGATATTATAAAAATATTTTTTTTTCTTTTTCATGTATTAAACATATATGATAGAATTGTGCAAATGATAAATATGTGGGTATGTACTAACTTAATTGGGGTGTACTCATTCTATAATGATACAGTTCATCCCTTATTTATAAATAAAATTATTCATTTATTTTTTTGTCTATTTTGACTCTATTTTTAATTCAAAAATATAATTTACAAAAATATTTATTATTTCTAAATGAAGTTGTATATAAAAAGTCCGTCCAATAGGCTTGTCCGTAGATCCTCCCAACAGGCTCGCCCAATTAATGGTGGGTTGTCTACTCCTACCCAAGTCTGGCTCGACCTGTTTGATAACTCATCTGAATAAGGGTTTGGACCTATCTTACCTAGGGGCTAGCCTAAAAAAAAATTCATAGGCCGAGCACATCCCTACACCTCCCTCATTCTACGAATTTCTACACCTCCCTAAAAATTAGTCTTTTCCTTTCTACACCTCCCTCATTCTACGAATTTCTTTCTTTCTCTCTCATCTGTGTAACTTAATATTTTTGGTAGTTCTTATCTGTGAAAAATATTTATAGATATGTGCAAGGAAGTTACATGTAGTTGTAAAATTTTGAAATTTTTGTTCTTCTTGCTGATCAACTTCGATTTTTCTCTTTCTCTCCCCTCCAATCAGTATTACTCCACAAGACTCAATTTTCAGAGCTTGTTTCAATTCATTTGATGGGATACACGAGTCACATAATTGGGTCATGTCCAATTTTGACACTTTTCACCTGTTTAATAAACGGTTCGTGTATAGGTTAAGTGATTTTAGATTCAAACTTATTTAACCTAACACAATTGAAATCTCTAATTCATGATATAATGAGTGACTACTACTTTATTTATTATGTTTCGAATAGGATAAGCATACATTTGCTATGGCCGTAAATAGCTATTTACACATAATACCCATTATATTTATGTATTTATTAGAGTATTTTCTTTACTTCAAAACCTAAAAAATTCTACTTTAGCGTATTATAGCCACTATGGACAGTTTTAATCATCGAACTTATGGTTTCAAATACTTTTAGCCTCATTCCATAGTAAATATTATTTTGGGGATTGTACTTGGGTCTGGGTCATGAGATTGGACCAATGCCTTAAACTTGGGTAGGAGCATCGAGCCCAAGACCAGGCCTAGCCCAGTTCTGGATCATCATAAAACACGTAATGTTTGGGGTGCCCAGCCCAAACTCGGTCCAGCCATACCAATTGCTTTACTAAAGTATGGTTGGCTTGTGGTGTTATTCTTTGGGTTCTACTACCTCTGGGCTTTTCCTCTCAGTTGAGTGCTGAATCTACCCATCATAGGGTAAATATCCCAGATGATACTCGAATTATGTATTCGGTTTAAAATATCTTCTCAATTTTTAATTGTTTTAATTTAGTCCTTAAACTAATAAGATTTAACAATCAACCATTTTTGTCTAATTCCGTAGTTAAAACAAACAGAGAAATAAAAAACGGACAGAATTGAAACAAGGTCTATGAGATTTTCCCTTGTTCTAATGAAAAATTGGACTAAGCGGAGTGAGTGCTTGATTGAGGATTACATTAACTCCAACACGTAACTCAAGTGGAAAAAAGGATGAGTCGTAAATTCAGATGTTTCGAGTTCGAATCTTGGTAACCCTTTGAAACCATGCCATGAAAAATTTATCTATTATGAAAACCC